TGAGTTCAAATCCCCACTCAAGCATGAACACCTTTTGAGCCTAAATAGTCTCACAGGCTTGTTATGAAGAGGAGGAAGAGAGCCATATATACCATCATGAACTCACTGGAGAGAAAGTGGGATGTCAGTGTAAAAAATAAATAAACCCACTTCCCAGGATGTTCTCCCCCTGCTTCTATAACAGACACAATTCAACTGTGAAGGGAACAACAGCAAAAGAATGGTACATATTAATAGTTACATATTTTACAGGGTCTCTGAAATTATTTTTCTGGGAGAGTGTGGCCTTTCTACCATACTGGTGACACCACTTCTTGTTTGGCAGTGTGCGGGCAGTTATCATGTATCTAAGTCTTCAGAAGTGCCATTGGATCTTAAAAGAACAAGTTAATATGTGAAGTAGCCCTGTACTATCTAGAAGCAAAGTAGAAATCTGAAAGGGTTTTATATTTGAGTACAGTGGTGCCCCGCATGACGATGATAATCTGTTCCATAGAAATCGCCGTCTTGTGAAAACATCATCTTGTGAAAACTGTTTCCCCATTGGAATGCATTGAAACCCGTTTAATGCATTCCAATGGGGAAAATAGTCGTCATTTTGCGAAAATCGCCCATATGGAAGCCATTTTGCAAAGCACCGATCAGCTTTTAAAATGGCTGTCCTATGAAGCATCGGTCCCGAAAACACCCATTTTGTGAAGCGCGGGTCAGTGCCAAAATTGTTGTCTTGTGAGAAACGGTTTGCGAGGCATGGACCCAAACATCGTCCAGCGAAAATCGCCCATTGGAAATACTTTTTTGCGAATCGCTATAGCGATCGCAAAACCTCATTGTCATGTGGATTTGTCGTTTTGCGAGGTCGTCGTCTAGCGGGGCACCACTGTAGTGTATTATAGGTCCATAGATTCCGAAATCTATGGACCTACACGAGAAACCCTTGGCCACATGGTGATGGCCACAGAAATATCTCCTCACCTGTCACGAAATGAAGCCATCGTTGATGAGGAATCCTAATGTGGACTCATCCTACATAACCTAGAATGCCCTCCGCTACTCTCATGGTTGGGGAGAATGGTGCTGCCAGCCCATCTGGATTGTTGCACCTTGTCTCAAGCAGACTTCTTGAACTATATGTTCATTATTATTCCCTCCTTCCCTGCTTTCCCATTTTTTCCTTCTAAGTCAAATGTAATAACTTGCTTTTTGCATAAGAGAAACTGTTTTTGTGTTGAGCCACACAGAGCAAAGCCCAAGCAGGATCACAACCAGGATCACACTAGTTGTTTTAAGGCTGGCATTCATAGCAGGCTTCATAAGTCACATCACCAACCAGATGGCAAAAGCCAAAAATGGTACTGGTTGAAAGATCCCCCACATATTTTTCAGCATTTTAAAGTCCTAATACAGAGGCCTATAATGAGAATTTGGATACAGCCATGACTGTGTCTGAGTGTTAATTTTTTGGCCTCTGGCCTCATGCTGGTCAAACATTGCCCAGATGTTAGAATGTACATCTTGTTAGCCCCTAAAAGTGTAACAGAGAGCCTGCTTGTTTAGCCTGCAAGGGAGTGTGTGCAGCAGTAATTTGTCCAAGCTAATTTCCTTTTTCACCACCACCCATTCCTAATGCGGCCTTCCCTTCCAGGATTAGTTATATGGAGTACAGTGGCTTAAGCAGAACCTCTTCCCTCTGGCCTTCTGTTTATCATCTTCTGTCAAGCGCATGCTGTTGCCAGGCAACAGAAAGGAAGTGCCAGCTGGAGCCACGTGGTTGTGGCCAGTCATTTCGTGTTAGCATCCTGGGGCAAAGTCTCATTTATTTCTAATCTAATGTTTCTAGGGGAACGCCACAGTCAATGTGTCCCAGATACTGTGCCAGTTGAGACAAAACTGCCTCTCTTTAGTTTCTACTTTTATTGGAGCTAGTTCTCGGCAGGATTGTGTTTACAGTTTCTGGTTGAATATTCATTAAATTCCTCATATTCCCCCCCCAAATCTGTTTAATCTGAACTAAGCATCACCTTCTCTTCATTTCTTTCCACTGATAGTGAAGGTTAGAATTGCTGAAACTCTGGAATATTATTTGATACACTCAGACTATAATTGGCCACAAATAGAGATGTGACTAGTACTTTTGACACTCAGGGCAAGCGCCACAGGTTGCACCCCCAAACCAACACTGCAATTCACGCTGTGAAAATAATACAAGAAGTACTTCACAGTGGTGAACACCTTGCCAGCATCTCCACAGGGGATTAATAACAGTCAGAGTGAAAAAAACAAAACAAAAATAAATCAGAAGTGTATCTTTTATATCTGTATATATTGTTTAACATACCATACATTTTAATTAACGCTGACTTCCTATATAGTCCAGTACAGAGGCGTAGTTTACCAAGTAACAGATAGACCTGGCCTCTACTGCCGTATCCATCTTTCTGTACTCTCTCTCGCAGGAGGTGTGGTATACAGTACTTCTGTCTGTTTTTGTGTTTCAATAGGCCTTGCTGCCAGGCCGCTCCAGGTGCCTGCGGATGGAACAAACCCTCTAAATTTGGCACCCTGGGACAAAGTTCGGGTTGCCAATCCCTAATTATGGTTCTGGCTATATAAGACCTACATCTCAACATGTTTCAGCTTGCCTTTAGTTTGTCAAAGACATTGAAAATGGGGCAAAATGACAGATTTTTCCCTATCCTTGATATTTAAAGCATGTTCGTGGAATTACATATATATAACCTCATGTTATTCTGTTAGTCAAATTATATAGAACTTCATGTACATAGTTTCTGTGTTGGTGGTCATGATTTTATAGTTGTGATATAGAAGGAGAAAGTTTTACTAGTACCTAGATTGATTGAGGTCTCTTCATATAGGGAAGTTTAGAAAACTATATATAAAGTATATATCCCTTTCCTTCTGTTTTACCAACAATCCCCTCTCGAGCACCCTGGATTTGGCTTTGAGGTTTTAAATAATGTTGTTGTACCTGGGGGTAATGATAAGAAGGGGAAGGAACAAAGAAACCTACTGTAGCCCTGTATATCTATTTCCAGGACAAATTAATTGAGTATTCTCAGTGCCACGAACACAGGCCCTGAAAAGCCAGTTTATGATTTTTTTAAAAAAAAAAACGCTGTTTGAAAATGTGTAAGCAAATTGAGTAGTAAATGTTCCTTTCGGGATGGGAAAAACTGGGTCCCATTCTTCACATACAAGTGATGCCATTCCAAGATTTTGGTACAGTCTCTTTGTAGCAGTTTTGATTGGGGCCATATAAGAAACACAAAGCTTAATGTGCCCAACTTTGAACTGCTTTATCTTGGGCTGAACTCGCTACATGTCACCTTAAAGACTAACTGCTCCAAAGTACCCCAAGGTTTTTGTGTTTGTTTATTTGTTTGTTTCACCTCGTGTTTTCACAGACTAACACGGCTACTCCTTCAAAAAATATATAATGATGTTTCTTTCCTTTTCATGTATTTTCTTCTCAGCCAGTGTTTATAATCTTGCCTCTGAGTGTTCATACTAAGCATTTTGATCTTTTCAACAGAACAGTGTAATTTTCAGCTGAGTAGCACATATTACACGAGAGTATCTGCTTACAACAGACTACTATTTTTATATTCTACAGACAGTGCATGGTTTCTAGCATAAAGTGATCCCCACTACAGCCTCGGATCCATCTTGACATCCCAGTTTTTTTATCAGATGCTAAGCAAGAGTTCTCCAGTTCCAATGTAAAGTAGGAACCTCAGGGTATGACAGTGAAGCCCATATGTGATGGGAAGGGGAGAGTGTGGACCACTGCTGTTTATCTACAGCTTCATAAAGAGTTAGGAAGTATATGTCCAACTACTATCATGGCACACATCCTCTGTTATAATTCCTGCTGAGTTCCTTTAAAGCACTATTTGCCAGTGTGGGGGTCATGACCCTCAAGGGGGTGACAAAATGTTTTCTGGGAGGGGGATTCCATGGGTCACTTTATATGTGTTGCAGCCCTCATTAAATAATTTCTTCTTTGACCTTATGAAGCAGGATATTAAACTTAGCGTACATATGTATGTATGAAAAACAGGACCTTTAGGGGAGAAAGAAGCCTCTACTTACCGAAGAGAGATGACATTACCCCATTAAAATGCCTTTTTATGCAAATGTGGCAAGGGGGGGTCCAGGTTACTTGGCTATTATAAAATGGGGTCATGACTCGAAAAAGATTGGGAACCACTGATGCAAAGCAAAGGTGATGCTGATTCGGCTCAAAATGTGGATTGGGTTAATGGAAAGGTCATCACTCTTGCCCTGAAACTGCTGCTTCACAACCAGATTTCTCATGGCAGACCTGACTTTCAGATTCGGAGCTATGTCATAGGAAAACAGTTCCAGAGAACTTGTTTTGGTGGGAGGCATGGCTGGAAGAAAAGGGTTCAGCTACCTCTTATTTATTTATTTATTTATTTATTTATTTATTCATTCATTCATTCATTCATTCATTCATTCATTCATTCATTCATTCATACATACATACTCCGCCCATCTGGTCTAAAAGACCACTCTAGGCGGCTTGTGACAGGTGTGTCTAAATACAAATTTGATTTGATTTGATTTGATTTGATTTGATTTGATTTATATCCCGCCCATCTGGTAAGTCGGTACCACTCTGAGCGGCTAACACTTCCTGCCTACTCTGTCTGTACTTTAAATCATAATGTTATATGAATAAATATTCAACCTACTTGTGATAATGTTTTACCACTCTTGCAACTGGTAGTGTAGGTGAGCATGTGTTGGGATGGCAGCTGCATGCCAATTGCATTTTCCATGTTGTTAGAGATTGCTTTTTTGGGGGGTACTCAGATATCAAGCCTTGATGCCTGGTTGTTCCTTCTGTTGAAGCAAGAGCTACAGTATGTTATATGCATTTGCTTTCATCTCTCAGATATTAAGAGCGTGTTTCCATAGAAAACTGAGTGTTGCTTCTTCTTCTTTCTCTTCAGGTACAGGTACAAAGTACTCTGGATTCAGAGAAGATGCTGACAGAAACGTGCCAGAGGCCCAAGTATTTCTATAGAGAAGACCTCACCTGATGGAAAACCCTCTTTTGAGAAATGTCAGGAGATTGTTTGCTTGTGACCAAAACAGACACCCTGTGAGAAGGCTTCATCTTACAGTCAAGAGAAATGGAGCATGGGATCTTCAGCTAGCAGTGTGCTGGTAGCTCGCCACTATCTTTGTTCATCATGAAGCAGTCAACCTTTTGGCTTGTTCCTTCTCACTTCATAGACTTCATCCCCATCAAATATGAACACTCATTTCCGCTGTAGATCAGAAAATTACTTGGGGCAAGTGTCTATGTACAGTAGGAGTAGCTGTGGAAAACAACATGACCAAAAGCATGCCACTGTTTAATCTTTGTCTTTGATCCTGTGCTCTTACTGTATTGTAGACAAGAAATATTCAGTGTTCTGTGTTATATACTCTTCATTTGTATTATGGTGGCATGTAGCCCTGCAACATGGCAGTAGAGACTCATGGACAGTTGGTGAATCTGGGTGACAAAGAGCTGATTGCTCCATATGGGAATCCACCACCAAAGAGGATCAAACTGTTTTTTGAGCTTTTTGAGCATCATGAATTTTCTCCATGTACCATTCATAAACATACAATACTGGAACATATCTGTTTGCCTTTCCAGCTGGTAGAAATTGATTTGCATTTTTCTTTGTTAAGCTTATGAATGTAACACATTTTTACTATAAATCTAGCCGCTTGGTAAACCTGCCAGTTTTTTCCCATTTGAGAAGCTAATATCTGCTAGTTACAAGAATGCATTTATTTTAAATTTATTTATTAAATAAATTATTCAAATATTCATCAACAAATATTCTCTGGTTTGTTAAATAATGAATAACAATCCCTGATGTCTTCCTTCCCTTTCTCCCCTACTGTTCGTTTTCCATCTTGTTGAATTTGTCTATTGTTCACTATGTTACTAATTTTATATTCAATTGTGTATTTTATGCGTATTTTATTTACGTTGTAAGCCGCCTAGAGTGGTCATAACTGACCAAATAGGCGGGATAATGAATGAATGAATGAATGAATGAATGAATGAATGAATAAATAAATAAATAAATAAATAAATAAATAAATAAATAAATAAATAAATAACAATTATCTCCCATCAAATCAACGCAGAGTGATATGGACAATCACAGGGTTTTTTAGGTTAAAAAAATTCTTAGCAAGGGTTTACTAGTCCTTTCTTCTGGTGATGCTCAAGGACAGCTTGACAAGGGCTGCACAAGAGGCAGGGCATTTTGCACCACCAGTTACACACATTCTGGGTGATCTTGGGTAGCCTTTTTCCTAGGATGCACAGTGGGGATTCAGACTCCCAGCCTAGGAGCAATAACCCACTGTGTTAATATCTGCTCTAACTGCCTTACAGTGCAGCTCCTCCCCAAATACGAGACAGGCTCCATCTATAGACTTTTAAGGGGGACATGTGAGCAGATCTCCATATGAAAGTGTTCGGGATATGATCTTCAAGCCCCATTGCAGCCCCATGTGTGTATCCCAAACCAATCTTGGACTGCTGGGAAGCTCATAAAAGCTGGCTTTCAGGCAGCTTTCAGACAGAAAGGCAGGGGAAGGGGTGTAGTTACATCACTGGAATATTGAATTTAGGTACAAGACACAATAATTAAAAACAAGAAGTGATAAAAATGGAAGATAAAACATTACTTCCAGCAGAAAACAGGTTTTTCTAATAATCACACTGAAATGGTTGATAGGCTAGAAGAATGCAACTGGATAATAGAAACAAAGAGGAATTGCATCTCACAACTGAGTCCTATAGAGAAGCAAATTATTTGGAAATTACCTTGCGGTGGGAAATACTTGAGAGTGGCTGTGGTGCAAATATGTGCAACAGTTGGTCCTATAATAATGTAATAAAGTTGTTTTAAACAACTTATGAGGGTTATTTTTATTTCAGGTCCACAGTGTTGTGTTGTAGATAGAGTGACAGACTAGGACTCTGGAAACCTGGATTTGAATTCCTGCTGTGGAAGCTTACTCCTTAAATATCTCACTTACTTTGAAAAGTCTACTAGGAAGCTATAATTTGGTTTCAACTTGATGACATATCACATGCACACAGACTTACTTCATTTGAATGCTTGATAAACAGATACTTGCTTTAGAAATCTGTTTAGAGAAGCCACCCTCAACCTGGTGCCTATCACATGTGTTGAACTACAAGAAGTCCATACCCAACCAGACACATTTTAGTAGTTACAGTCCAAGACATCTGGAGGACAACAGAGTGGAGAAACCTGTTGTGTATTAAACATAATGTAATTTTCAGTGTGAGCATGGTGATTTTTCTCCTTCACGGATTGCTGCTTTGTCATGGCAAAGGGGCTTGAGTAATTCAGAGAAGCTATGGGCTATGCCATGCAGGGCCACCCAAGACAGACAGGTCATAGTGGAGAGTTCTGACGAGACGTGATCCCCCTGGAACAGGAACTGGCAAGCCACTCTAGTATCTTTACCAACAAAACTCCATTGACAGAAACAAAAGGCTAAAAGGGATGACGTTGGAAGATGAGCCCCTCAGGTCAGAAGGCCTCCAACATGCTACTGAGGAAGAGTGGAGGAAAAGGACAAGTAGCTTTAGAACTAATGAAGTGTTTGGGCCAAATCCGACAGGACGCTCCGCTGCGGATATGCGTGGCAGTGAAAAGAAAGTCCGATGCTGCAAAGAAAAATACTGCATAGGAACCTGGAATGTAAGATCTATGAACCTTGGTAAGCTGGATGTGGTCAAACAGGAGATGGCAAGAATAAACATTGACATCCTGCGTATCAATGAACTAAAATGGACAGGAATGGGCGATTTCAATTCAGACGATTATCATATCTACTATTGTGGGCAAGAATCCCCTAGAAGGAATGGAGTACCTTTAACAGTCAACAAAACAGTAGAAAAAGCTCAAAAACAATAGAATGATTTCAATATGAATCCAAGGCAGATCTTTCATAACAGTAATTAGTTTATGCACCAACCACCGATGCTGAAGAGGCTGAAATTGACCAATTATGTGAAGACTTACAACACCTTCTAGAATTGACACCAAAGAAAGATGTTCTTCTCATTATAGGGGACTGGAATGCTAAAGTAGGGAGTCAAAAGCTAAAAGGAGCAATAGGGAAGTTTGGCCTTGGAGTTCAAAATAAAGCAGGGCAAAAGCTAATAGAGGTTTGTCAAGAGAACAAGCTGGTCATCACAAACACTATTTTCCAACAACACAAGAGGTGACTCTACACATGGACATTGCCAGATGGGCAATACCGGAACCAAATTGATTACATTCACTGCAGCCAAAGATGGAGAACCTCAATACAGTCAACAAAAACAAGACCTGGAGCTGATTGTGACTCTGATCATCAGCTTCTTATAGCAAAACTCAAGCTTGAACTGAAGAAAGTACGAAAATCCACTGGGCTAGTCATGTGTAATCTAAACCAAATCCTTTATGAATACACAGTGAAAGTGAAGAACAGATTTAAGGAACTAGATTTGGTGGACAGAGTGCCTGAAGAACTATGGATGGAGGC